GCAGTGAAGGACAGGAAGGCCTGGCATGATAGGGTTCATGGGGTCACGAAGAGTCGGACACGACTTAACGACTGAACAACAACAACATGATACTAACATGTTCAAATCATTATTTAAAATATGGGCTTGCTTACTCTACTTCACTTTGCAGCCTATTGTCCTGATTGATTGATTGATTGATTGATTGATTGATTGATTGATTGATTGATTGATTTTAGATTTACATCCCAGTTTTCCTCTGCAGCCTCGGGGCAGGGTGCATAGCACTTCTTTCTCCTACTTTTTCCCCTATAACAACAAGCCTGTGAGGTAAGCTGGACTGAGAGAAAACTACTGACCCAAATCATAACAACAGGTAGCATATAAATGATAAATAAATAAATAATCACCCAGTGAGCTTCCATGGCTGAGGGTGGATTTGAACCTCTCTCCTAGTCCAATATCTTATCTGCACAGAAAAAGGGCTGAATGTGTTTTTAATACATTGTTGGCTACCCAGAGTCGCATCCAAAAAATGGGTGGCCATATAAATCAGTTCAATGAATTGAATAAAATAAATGTATTCCCCTTGAGTAAGCATGAATGAATACATTTTTATTATAACCTCTGGCCAATCAGTCAGTTCTTTGGTCTTTTATAACAGTTGCACAAATTTCTGTTTCTGTATGGTCAGTGGAAGGAAACTCTCATTCCAGCCAGTTGTGCAAGCCAATTTTAATACAGAGGATTGAATTCAAAGATGCTGTTCTGATGATGGTGAAGACACTGCTGGTGGATCAAATTCCCCCATCCGGATATTTGCTTGGGAGAATTGAACACACTTCGGGAGCAGATCTGGAGGCTGCAAAAGGAGACAGAGGAAAAGGGAAATTTTCTTTTCTGAGCAGATCGTGTTGGATTTAGTCCAGAGTCAGATTAGCATATAGGCTATTTGGGGCTTTTTTTTATTGCAGAATCCTAAATCCGATTTCATTGAGGGATTGTCAGATGTCTAGGATTCCCTCTGTGTTATCCAGATTATCCTGAATAAATAATGTCCCTGTTTATCCTAATGTTTTGGCTGTTTTGGAGCTATTTGTAAGTGAGATTGACCATACAGTGTAGGTTTCCTCTGATTTCAGTTCTGTGTCAAACTTTGCAATTTGAAGAATTATTGATAATTTTGAAGAGGATTTCTAGTTTTCCTAGCTAGACATGCACCCTCTTAAGTGTGCAAAGGGTAATCATTTAAAAGCTGATCAGTTAGCAAATGCGCACACCTATAAATACCACCCTGTGGTAGCATCAGACAAACTCAGATGTGGTGTTGTGTTTTTTATTTTACTGTACAAGGGAAGAACAGCTGCTGGTTTCCCAGTCAACAGCTGGAAAAAGCTGAGTTGTGTCTCCCTCACTGCATGGGCAGAATGTCTTCTATGGAATAATACCATTATTACACAAATTTCTTTTCAGGAATAGTTCTGAAACCATATCTGACGTTTCAGAGGTCAAGGCAGTAGAACCTCTTTCACAAGAACCACTGTCCATATTCTTTTGTCTTGGCATTGGAAACATGTCTTCATTTTTGTTTCTGAGACGTGGAAAGGGAACGGACACCAGATAATTCATTCCTACCTTATGCTTCCTTAGTGAAGATACAAACTTTTTCTTCAAAGTCAGCCTTTGGGAGGCCAAATCCTTTGTGTAGGAAAAAAATGTGATTTTAAAAGCCAGCATCGTATAGTAAAAAGTGGTGGATTTGGGACCCCTGGCGACCTGTCCTGCACAGCTATGAAGCTCTCAGAATAGCCCCAGAACATTCAGCCCCCTCTACTGACCTCCTGAACAGAATTACTATTTATGTAGTTTTCCATTTTTATGCTGCCCTCTCACAAGACCCAGAGAAGTATACTGTAAAAGCAACATATTTGTACCCCCTAATCTACTTTTCTCTGATTTTTATAATGCTGTTTGCAGTTTTAAAAATAGGCATGTGAGAGGAAAGTGTGTGTAAAAGGGCATGTTTTAAGAAGAATATACACAAAAGTACAGGCACATTTTAATTTTTTTTTTTTAAAAAAGAAGCTAATGCTGAATGGATTTAAGCTGGAAAAAAATGTAAAAATAGCCTGTATGAAACCAAACTTTGAAGCGTCATCTTCCCCTTTTGAGACCAGAATATGCTACATTTTTGTAATGTAACCTGCATTGCAGGTTGAGCTTCTCAGTCAAAAACCATTGACATATGAGGTGCCTCCCTTGTGGCCACAAAGTTTGCAAAAACAGAAGGTCATTTGACAAAGCATGTGCTCGTCAAAAGGGACAAACCAAAGCTGACAAGCTGTTGAAGGCTGATGGTACGTTGGCCAAATGCCCAGGTAGGAATTTGCATGCCTCTAGGTGACGCTTTCCTCCCAAATCAAATGGGTGCCCATACAAATAATGAACTGCTTTGCTTCCCACAGATTTGAAAGCACCATCCAAATTGGCAAGCTGCAAGACCTTATCCACCGCAGTAAAATGGCCAGATGTAGAGGACGGTTTGTCTGCCCCGTTATCCTCTACAAGGGAAAGGTAAAGCTGTGCATATCCTGTGCACCTTTCATAGATCGCTTCTGTCTTTGTAGAGATGGATCATGGTAGCCTTTGCTGGACTAAATACTAGGAGGCCTGAAAGATGGCAAGAACTTTCTGTACAAAGTGTGTGAGTCTTCTGCTTCTTCTCACTATCTGAAGCTGCCCTCAGAGAGGCAGTAGAGGAGGTGAGCTGTTCTCTAACTTGCAGCCTTCAGCTTGTCACAGTTTCGTGGTGGAACACATGGAGGTTTTTTGGGTTGGGCGTTTTGTTTTTTGAGAAGACTGAAGTTGGATAGTTCAGCTTTTTTTGTTACCTGTTAACATTTGCTGCCTTTACTGACCAGCTGGTTCTCTTCTTTTTCTTTTCTTTGGAAGTATGTCGAGAAGCCCTTTTTATTTATTTATATTTTCCTTCGTTAACCTCAGCTCATTCTGAGCTTTCACCTCTCTGGCGCCCTCCTGCAGTTCTGGGTTTCCTTTCTGTACTCTCCCTTTGTGACCTGGCCCTTTTTCCATTTCTCATGTATCTCCTTTTCTGTTCTCAGATTTTAACTAAGCTTTTTGGCTTTTTCTGTTGTCTTCCATTTTGTTCCTTGCTTCTGTGCTTGCAGTATCTCCTTCTTTAGAAACTTCCACTCAACTTGAGAACTCCTTTTCCCATTAGCTTTTCATGCCATGAGATCTTATTTATCATTGCTCTTGAGTTGGTTAAAATCCTTCTAAAGTCCAAGATACTTGTTTGATAACACTGAGTTTTAGTGTAGCTTCTTTGAAAATTAAGAACTTTAGTATTACTTTTCCCCAATGTTCCTGCTATCTTAAATTAAATCTTCTCTAATCGTCTTCGTTAAAATTTTGAAACAAGAAAGAACATGATAATGAGTTGATAAGCTTTAAAAGGGTGCTGCAAATAGTGATTGCGTAGGACAATGAGAAGGAATTGCAGAGACTCAGCACTGGTAATGAAACCTGTCTTGTAAGCTGTGCAGCTCTCTAGCTGGAAGGCCCAAGAGCAAAACCATTTTGATTTGGGATAGTAAAATAAACCTGAAGGAGAATAGAATCCAATGCTATTTCTCTGTGCTGTTATTGGCCATTGTATGTCTCCCCAGCATATATGCCGATCAGCCACACTGGCAGGATGGGGAGAGCTTTATGGGCGCACAGGATACAACTACATTTTCTCAGGTAAGAGAAAGGAAGTTCGTAGAAGGTGTAGTTTTACTGTTGATAATGGTATTTGAAGAGAGAGGGTGCATTTTTGGAAATCAGTGGGGATTGCACATTTAAGCTTGGAGGAGGAAGCTAAGCTTGTACATCCTGCTGAGCCATAATATGGGTAGCTTGGTTTGGGTTACTGTTATATATGAATCCAGGCCTTGTGGTTTGTAAAATGTGGTTTAATGTTTAGTGTTGTGCACACATCAAGTTAAAACAAATCATAGGTTAGTGAGTGCAATGTTATACAGTTTATTTCAAGATGGAAACCAAGCTCCTGTGCTGCACAGAGAGACTCTTAGGGCCAGATCAAGCCACCGGGGGAAACTTGTTAATCTTTTGCATCGGAAACCACCAAGAGTCATTAATTAGTCTTAAAATGTATTTATTTGTCAAATTTCTGTGCCACCGAACTCCCAAACAACTCTGGGAGGCATTGCAAAATTATAAAAACAACAGGATTATATATAAAATGAACATACAATATTATATAAAAGCATGACAAATGTAGGAGGGAACAACATATTTCAACATCACCCCCCAACTAAAGGGACCTGCCTAAAACATCATAATCATATTTTGCAATTAGATTTTGGCTTCAGAATTATGGAAACATGAACATTAAATAATTTACCCTTTTAGATACAGGGGAGGGTGGGTGAACCCTGTGATGCATGAAAACATATTTTCACAAACTGACATTATTTTGTTTTCTGATTGCCCATGAAGTTCTTAATGCTTCTTTTAAATGACTGCAATTCTCAGAATGTTACTAAGTGCTGTGACTTTTGAACTGGAGAGGTAGAAAATATATATCCATGACTTGACGTTATTGTTGGGAACAGGCATTCTTTCTTGATCAATTGGATTTATTGTGCCTCATCAATAATTGAAATAAAATGTCCTGTGTGGCATCTAAAGAATGGCTAGACTGTAATCCTTGGTTCCTTCATGGGCATCTCCACCATAAGACAGGAGAAGGGGGAAAAGGCTATGGGCCCCAAGCTCTTCCTTGACCTGACATGCTCTTAAACTGGCCTAATTTGTTTATCCTCTTTTGAAAAGAAAGCATTTGGAAATGGCTTCATAAAAAATGGGAATGGTAGGATGTCCCATCACCCTACAAGCCAGCAGAGCAGTCCAACCAGAGAGTTTCTCCCACTTCCTCTTCTGTAAGACTGTTTGCCTATATCTACACTAACCTTATGGGAAGTCTGTGAGAGTGAACTGTCGTTTGCACAACTGCTGTGAAGCCTGTATGGAATATCAGAGCATGTTCCTGTCCTTGCTCCAGTTCCCCATCAGGAGAATAGATTGGGAATCTGGAACAGAACCCTCTCCAGCTGGTGCAGACTCAGGTTCAAGAACAAAACCCAGCCAAGTTGATTTCATTGGCTCATGGGATGGCCCAGGAAGCAGCATCTATGGGATGGTCCTGATGATCTCCCTTGACTCATTCACAGGAGCAAGTCCGTTTGGATTGTTTAGTTTGCTGAACTGATGGGAAATCTGAAACTACCTGGGAGAAGTACTTGGTCATGAAAAGAGCTTTGGACCATTCTCTCTTTCCCAGTCCCAAACCACAGTTGCTATCACAACAAATGATGTGGCATATAAATTCAATAAACAAACAAACTTGCTTCCCCCCTTCTCCCCCCCTTCGATTTGTAGGTGGTTCAGATGATGCCTGGGCAGATACAGAAGACTTGTCGGAAGAGGACTCTGCTTTCAGGTCTGTTTGTTTCCTGTGTTGATGGGTTGTATGTAAGATTCTGACTTCTTTCCTGAGCGCACTCTCTTTCTCTCTCTCTCTTTCTCCAACCCAAAAACATCAAAAAATCCTTCTCTGTTACCATGGCAGGTAGAAATTTAAAAAGCACTTATTTTATTAACCTGGAATTGCAGGCGAAAAAAAGGTTGTGCTTCTTAAATCTCTGTTGTGCCAGTGCAAAAAGATTAAAACATCCTTGAAACTTCAGAAGTTGATGGTTGAAACAATAGCCATTATCCTGGGATGTAAAGTGATGTGTATAGTCATAACTATTTTATTGAGCCCCAGGAGAGAAGTCTTGCATTAAGTGCCTCTCAGGAGAGATAAGAAGAGCCAAGACTCATATAGGATGAAAGTCTTACAACATTGCTGTGAATTTTATTTTCTTTTAACTTCAGAAGATGTTGTTGAAGATATTCAAAGTAGCTTACAGCAGATTTTTTTGAAAAAATGATAATGATAAATTGGGAATCGCACTGAAATTTCAGCAAAAAAATGGCAAGATAAAATATGGTTCACACTTAATAAAGTATTATAATTTCAGATCATAAACATAGATTAAGCGCTTAAAAACCTTCTCTGTAGGCCTTGCTTATTCCCTGAATGCGGGACAGCATGCATTCTGGGAGTTGATGTGCTTCATCATCACTTAATTTAAGTAGCCTGGCTTTCCCTCTAATCTGATTCTGGAGGTGGTGATTCTTTGAAGGGACTGAGGAGCTTTTTGGACTTCCCAGCAACTGGTACAAAAATGCTCCAATCTGAGAGGTGAATTGGGGAGCCTTTGTATCCAAACCAATAAAATTTTCCGGGATCATTGTGTTTATTAGCATGGCTTTCTCATCAGCTCTTGAGAACTTCTTTTCACCCATTTACACAGAGGACTTCAAATGTTTTAGTTCTGAGCTGGATGCCATCTCTTGGGGAACCTACCTTGCACAGACCATCTTGAAATGAATGGGACTTTCAAAGGGATCATGATCTTGGCCCCCACAGAGCATTCTGGCTGTTCTGATGTGTAAGGCTTCCTAATATCTTTGATTCCCCATAATGGAATGCTAAGCCTCATTTTTCCTTCATTTCAGAAATGCAGACTCACAACTCTTTGACAAAGTCCGAGGTCACGACATCAAGCTCTTGCGGTATCTGTCGGTTGCATACATCTGTGACTTGATGGTGGAGAACAAAAAAGTAAAGTTTGGCCTGAAGTAAGCACCAGCGCATGCCGTGCTCCGGTTGCTGCGGGCAAATTTTAAGCAGCATTCCAGCTGAATGTTTACTACATTCATTATACTACAACCAGTATAATGTAGTAATCAAAGAGCTGGACTTAGGCCTCAGTGACAGCTAGATTCAAATCCTTATTGCACCACAAACCTCATTTGATGACAGTGGGCAAATTGCTGCTGCTCAGCTAATTTGTGAGGATAAAAGGCAGGATGGGATCCTCATTGTTGCCCTGAGGTCTGTGGAGGAAGGGTGGGAGAGAAATAAAATAAGAAGCTAAGATTCCCAGTGATGGTATCTTGTATTTTTTCTGCTGTATCCTCCATGTCATAGAAATAAATGCCACATTTGTTTAGAAAGTCAAGAGTGAGAACTAACCGCAAAGGCTATCTTAAAGCCTTAATTGTTAAGAGCCAGAATACTGTAGTTAAGCTCTGCAAATGTAAGAAAGAATAGACCCCAGGGATTTCTAGGTGTGGTGAAGTGGCTCCCTAATGTTAGCCTGCCTTTGCTAAATATTACCAAAAGATTTCACACCCACACACCCACAGTGCATTTCCATTTCTCTTTCAGTGTGACTTCTTCTGAGAAAGTGGATAAAGCCCAGCGCTATGCTGACTTCACTCTCCTTTCTATCCCGTACCCAGGTAGGTGGGAGTAATATATTAAACTTGGGCTGTAGCAAAATCACTGACTTTGCTGCTCATAAGATAAACTGGGAAATAGAGCATGCGCTAGAAACTTAAAGAGGTGGAAGGCCAGAAGGTGCCGATTTAATCTTCATGTGAAGTTGCATTCTGGGATCTTACTGCAACTTATCCACTGTTCATCAGGAACAGTATGTTGCAACTTTTCACCTGATTGAAGAGCTCCTTTTGTTTGCTTCCAAAAGTGCTCCCCAAGTTAAAGATTCCTTCATCAAAAGATATGTAATAATTGTATCGGACAATATTTATTTCAGATGTGGGGTGTGGATTGCCTTTTCTTTTCCATTCCTTTTGAAAGCCTGTTCAGCATTTCATTAGAAATCGGTGATGTTGAAAATTGGTGTGGTGGGCTGGGATAATATATGTCTGCAACTGGAGGATTTAATTTGGCTTCTCAGTGCTATGATGAAAATGGGTTTCCCCTTTCCTCTTGGCTATTTCCAAAGCTTATCTCGCTACAGTGAATCACAGCCCAAGGAGGTAAGCGCTGCCAGGAAATTCTGGCTAAGAAATACTGACCTGGAAAGTCCTTATGCATTATGAGATGTTCCTTGGGAGGTGTTACGTTGGGAGAATGAGCACATAGCCACTTGTTGTCTTTTAATGGATGAGAGCCCTCAGAGGAAGTATTCCAATTAAAATTGCATCAAGCCATGGATGAATTCCCCTTCCAGAACACGATTTTGAAATTACCAAGTAACTGGGTTGGAGGGTTTTTTTTTTAAAATGACAATGTTTTTCCTCTCTGAATCCATTTAGGCGCTACCTGGGTCTGTGTGTGTAGGAGAGAGAATCAAAATGGTGTGATTCTATAAACATGCATTTCATATAACCCAAACCTGTTTCTTCCTAGTTCCACCTGTCCATTGCCATATCTAACTTTATGTAACTGAAACTTTTCTATTTTATTTTTCAAAGTAGTTTAAAAAAAAAAAAGCTTTGCCCAGCATTGGAGCAGAAAGCCAAACCCCCTGTACTTATGCTTCTCTGTTCAGAGGCATTATTGTACCATGAATCCTGTCTGGGGGTTGAATAAAACAGTCTAGGAGCATATGATTTAGGCCAGGGGTTGGGGATCTGCCATGTCCCAGAATTACATTCCCAGCCAGGCAGCCTTCTTCTGGCATTGGCTGGAGCAGGCGAGAGTTGAGAATTTCCCCAGGATGGTTTTCCTGGACAATCAGCTCTGTGTCAGAATTTCAGAGTACCAACTTCAGGATGGATGTTAATAGCTGGAGAACTGCAGGTTGATCTCTGGAATCAGCTATGGAGGCAGAGCTGAAAATAAGCTCCTTAAGCATTTGGCTGGTTCAGGCTCTTGCTTACCAGCTGAGAGTTGTTCATCATGGCTCGCTTGCCTGTCTTGTTGCAAGAGGGTGCTGTTGTCCAGACCAGACTGATAGTTGCCCTAACACAGTGTTTCTCAAACTCAGCAGATTTAAGATGTGTGGACTTCAACTCCCAGAATTCTGGGAGTTGAAGTCCACACATCTTAAAATTGCCAAGTTTGAAAAACACTGCTCTAACACCTAATGAGAGCCAAGCTGTGGCTCTGACACTTGGCTTATTCTGGGATCTGTGATTCCTGAGGAGGAACCTCTTTACCTCTGCAGGAGTGCTGACATTCCTTCCATTCTTCTTTCTCTCCATCCCCCTTTTTCTTCCTGCACAGGCTGCGAATTTTTCAAGGAGTACAAAGAGCGCGATTACACAGCAGAAGGACTGGTTTTTAACTGGAAGCAGGTATGGGCCAGGCAGCAAAGCAGGCTCACTCTAATGCTGTTTGAGTAGGGTGTATCTAAACTAGGAATCTATAAGAACACTTTGGAGAGGCTTGTTTCAACTGGCTAGTCAGCGTCCTGCTATGTTGGAAGAAAGCAGCTAGTCAAGGAAGCCTGACCTGGCCAGCAACCAGTGTAGATGCCAGCTTAGATGGATAGGAAAACTCTGCATCTGCCACCTGAATGGACCATGTTGCTTTGCCTAACATAAGGTTAGCCTTGCATGAACCCAAGAGGCCTCTAGGACAGATAGGCCCCCTGCACCTGTGGGCCCTGTCTAGTTCCTGGACTTCCCTGTTGTGATGTTGATGGTTGTTGATGCAACTGCTGAAAATAGCACACATTCACATGGTTTTGAAGTAGGTAATAACTGTATGGAATCTTTAGAACGGACTTGAGGTTTTCAACACATCAAGTCCGTTCTAAAGATTCCATACAATCTCTGTGATGTGGCACCACCAGTTTAGCATCATCACTCCTCCCATACAACCCTTAGTCTCTCAGAAACACAAAAAATGCAGCTCCGCTTAGCCTCACTTGTTCTAGGCAGTGTCTGTCAGGTTGCTACCCGCCCCACTCCTGTATTTGCTGCTGACAGAGAACTAGGTATTTTCAGCCTTCCCCAGCTTCCTTTTCCTCCTCCATCATCATCTGTATCAGACCTTTCCCTCTGAGAAGTTCTTTTGAAAACATACCACAAGAAGGGTTTCCTTCTTGCCTGTGAAGGGGAAAAGTTGGCAATCACATGGCTTGCACGTAAGAAACATAGTACAGGTAAACCATTATTTCTGTCCAAACCAGCAGACGTACAAGACATTGTTGGATGGCCATCCCTTGTTTAGGTGACCAGAACAATCAGTGCCAAGAAGAATCCCTGGGGAGAATGGAAGATAACTTAGCCACTGAGGAACATGAGCGTTCTGCATTTCCCTTGGCTCACCAGGACAGTCATCGTTCTGCTATGCTAAGGCAGAACTAAGATTCCAGTGGACTTGGGAGGAAGTTCCATGGCAGTTCAGAGGGATATCTTTGCAGTAAAATATGCACAGAGCTTGACTGACAGAGTTGGATTTCCCTGACTGGTATATAATTTTGTATTACAGGAGTGATACAAAAGCAAATTATACTATCCTGTTTTTAATATTTTCTAAGCCTAGCTTTGTCACACCATCCAGTTATTGAAGGAATGAATATTCCTATTTGTTTGCAGGATTATGTAGATGCTCCCCTAAGTATCCCAGTCTCTCTTACCCAGCCATTGAACATCGACTGGAGTGAATATCAGGTAAGAAGGGGCATCTTAATGCAATTAGCTTTCTTGCAATGACAAACTGTAGGGCTTCCCAGCTGTTCCCTGGGTTGAGGTTGGCAGTGGCTTCTACCTTGTATTCATTTGATCCAGGACTTGTCTTATGTTAGGGTTAGTGTCTGGAGTGGCTGTCTGGATTCATGCTTGAGTTACAGGGTCCAAAATTTGAGAGTTCATGCCTTATCCTCTGCTTCTTAGTTTTTCAGACAACTTTGTAAAACCGTACATATTTATTTTGTTATACCTTTCTTGTTCTCTATGGAGCAGGCTGTTTTTGGGGTTCCCCAGCATTTTCTTACTTGGGAAGCTTAATCTGGTTACATTCATTTATAGAACTTCCGTGTTCTTTCAAGTTTATTTGCTATGCCAAGCAGCATATTGGGCAAAAAGAGTGATTTGTTAAATTGCCAAGTGAATCCACATAAAGTTCCTGGTGGATTGCTGCACTTGTTTCAGCAGTGATCAGCTGGATGCTTGTATCTAAAGATTTTCATCCTTTAGTTCTCACTGCTCCAGATAGAACTGGTGTGCAATTTGAGGGTCCTCCTGATCTTGCAGATCCTGTTTGAGGAACAGGTGGCAGTTGTGGCCAGGAGGGCTTTTGCACAGATTCATCTTATGAGCCAGTTGTGCCCTTTCTTAGATCAAGGGGCTTTGCTCTTGGTCATTCATGCCTTGGTCACCTCCCACATGGATTGCTGCAATGTGGGCTACATGGAGCTGCCCTTGTAGACTACTTGGAAACTGCAGTTGGTCCAGAATGTGATGGCGTAGGTAGTTATGGGAATCCTTGGTATGCCCATGTTATACCACTGCTCCGTGAGCTGCATTGGCTTCCAGTAGGCTTCCAAGTATAATTCAAGGTACCAGTTACCATCTATAAAGCCAATTACATGGGGCTAGATTATTTGCAGGACTGTCCCTGTCTCCTTGTTTCTGCCTGATCCAGGCATTCTAGATCCAGCAGGGTAGGCATGTTTCAGGTCCCATCTATTAAGCAGTGTGATCTGCTGGGACCTAGGAAGTGGGCCTTCCCTTTTGTGGCACCCGTCCTTTGGAACAACATACCCCCCAAGATTCCTTTTGCCCCAACCCTGCTGGCATTTCATGAATCCTTGAAAACCTAGATGTTCCCCCAGGCATGGGGCCTGCATGTTGGATGAGCCTGTCATTGTGTTTTTTATTGACATGCTTGAGTTTTGAGGTTCGAACTTGATTATCCTCGTGTGCCATTGTGCTATTGTTCTGTATTGTTATTTGTTCTGATTCTTGTTCTGTTTTTTAATCTGGTGTTTGCCATCCAGAATCACAGTTGCAAGATGGGTGGCTATATAAATTGATATAATACATAAAACAGTGTCATGAAGGGAATTATTTTCTTTATAGTACAGTGGGGCAAAAAAGTATTTAGTCAGCCACCAATTGTGCAAGTTCTCCCACTTAAAAAGATGAGAGAGGCCTGTAATTTTCATCATAGGTATACCTCAACTATGAGAGAC